CTTAGGGACTATGTTTTGTTGGGGTGGTAATATGCCATTTCATTCTTTTTATATTAAGACATCAGTATGTTATTTAAAAAAAATATTAGAAGCCCATTTGTTATATATTTTATTCCGTTCTTGCAATGATATATATGTTTAATGAATTAAGTAATTTATTTTTACTAAATTTAATTGACAAAAACATTCACCACCACGTGCGATGCACGTGCACTTTACTAGTATATCAAAAAACAAAGGAATTTTTAAGTAAAACCTTGAGGAAAAACAAGTTAGAAAAAACCGAGGAAAAAGAAATATCTAGCAGCTTAATTCAAAGGGTTCTCATTCTCTGCTGGTGCCCATGGACCATGAGTGTCACCTCACAGTAAAGAAGCAAACTAGTTAAAGTCATTAAACAGGCATAAAGAAGAGCAAGAAGACGTATCTTCTTAATCCAAATATCAACCTCAACAAACTGCTTTCAAACTGTTTCTCGAAATCCCTCACTGAATAATGGACCTCGAAGAATGGGAGCTCCTTCCCGACCATGGATTTCTCGAAGCTGGCAAAAAGGTTTAATCGCCTAAAAGCTCGCATTCTAGTGTTTTCGAGACAAGTTAATTCATCTGTCCCCCAAAATCTTGTGAAAAAATCTCAGGTTGTGCTGCCAGCTGCATTAGCTAAGGCGGCATCTTTGAGTGTGCTGGCAGCTGATCAGAAAGACCCTGCCGTTTCACAGGTTTTCTTCAAGAAAATTAAGGAAACTGAATTTTGTTTCCAAAATTGAGATCCTAAGTGAATGTTTACATCAATTCGAAGAACCTGTGATTCTTGGCTGGTAAAAGAATTGTGCTTAACCTCCCATTTTTCGATATAAAAGATGACAAAACATTATGTTGATTTCTCCACAAAACACAGTGAGGTTTAAGTAATCTCATCATCTGGCTACACTAATAGAGACCAAAATGACTTCATCCTCAATATGATTGTTTGCTTTGCAGAAGAAAACTCAAACACTAGCTTCATATGGTTGATTGGTGGAAAAAGAAGAAGAAAACAAAGCATAAGGACAGAAAATTAATCTTCTAACCAACAAACCATTTGCAAATCTACCATCCCATGTGCCACACTTCAAAAATATCGTATCTTTTTACAATATCAATCAACGAAACGCAAAACAATGGAAGAAGATGTATGGAGAGAGTCAGTATTTGAATAGAGAGCAGTATTATATATGAAGTGAATAATGGGAACACACGATCTATATGCTCATCGATTACATTTAACGTAAAAGAATCAATAGACCAATAAATTGAATGTCATACAAATTAGAAACAACAAACAGAGGCAAAACATGAATTGGCATTGGCCTCCTTCCAATATTGATCATCGGCTCAGACGAGGTATCCGAGTGCAGCAACAACAACGGAAGCAAAGATTGCCGGAACAAATGCAGCAGCATCGGCAGATGGGCCCGGGGCAGGAGCCTCCACCTCAGCAGCCGCATTTTGGGCCGCCATCATCACGGCCATCACCACCACTACCAAGAAAGCCTTCATCTTCAATGCTTCCATTTTCTGTATATAATCAGCTGAATTAGTTACTATGTTTGGTTTGAGTTTGAGAGAAACTTGAAAGGATATATATATATAAATGTGTTGTGTTTTTGATGAAAAGGTAAAATGGGATGAGTTAGGCTATAAATAAGCAAGAAAAGGTTAACGGGCAATGCTGACCGAAGAAAGGGACGTTTGGTCCAAATGCACACAGCTAATTGCCCCTTGTTTTTTGAACATAAACTACATAACATTAACATAAGATAACATGGGGAGTGGCATAACAGATCATATTTGCCTGTCTTTTTTGCTACATGGCCGCTTGTCATGCTGTCCCTATCATTTTTATTTTTTTGCCTTTTTCTTGTTTCCCCTTTTTTGCCATTTCAAGAAATTCCCATCACATCTATTTACAGGTAGACATAAACATTGTAACCACTGATTTTTCAACTATTTTTTACCTCCCATTTTTTTAGTATAGAATACATGTTAAGGTTATGTTTGGTGAGCTCTAACTCTGCTAGTTAACAAGTGGAACTCGATCATTAATAAACCAAGTTATGTTACAAGTTAAGGAAATTATGTTAAAAAAAAAAAAAAAAAATTNCAACTCGAGCCTGTATTAGTCTACACGACCTGAGGTTATGGGCGACTCGTTTCATAGTAACTTTATGTACATGATTTTTTATTCCAAAAGTATGTTCCATTGTTGGATAAATAACGCAAAGTCGATGATGATGTGTGTTAATTATCCAATGATATTAAATTGAATTTTGGTATTGAAATGGGAGCTTTTCCCCTATGCACAACATAATAAAACCGCTCATATCTATATATCTATATAGGGTTGGATTCTAGTGAGAATGGTACTCAGTGAAAGAAATAAGAATGAAATGATCTAATGGCTGAAAAAAAATGTCAAAATTATACCATCATTAAGGGTGATTGTTAAGCTCGAGCAGTTTGTATAATTTTATTAATTAATTATAGTATTTTCCCTGTAATTTTCATAGAATAAGAGGAAGAAGACAATTAGAAGAGAGAGAAAGGAGAGAGAGAGAAAAAAGAGAGAGATATTTCTGTTAGACCAAATCTGATTTTTCCTTTGACAATCACGTTCGTTTTACCCTACAATGCGGTCCCACCACTAAACCATAAACATTGGCTTAGAACAAGCTCTTAGCTCAAATTAAAATATAACTAATGTTTCAAAATAGGAAAATGAAAGAGCCACAGCGGCCCAATTGAAATAACAATAAAAATGACCCAAATGAAATAAGACTAATCTCGGCACGTCAAACGACACTTGATTTCTTCTTTGGCCTTCATCTCAAACCCTAATTCCTTTATTCCTGATTCAATTTATCTTTCCACTTTCGAGTTCTGATCTTCTTCTTGCAAGATCTCGCCTTTTTCTTCGAATTTCGCCCATTTTCCGGCTAAAGGTGTAATCTTTGGGTCGCCGGTACCTCGGTACATGACATTACCCCCGGCAATTTGAGATCCTTCACCGCAAGGATCTAAAGTCGGAAAGTGGTGGTGGAGAAAGCTCACGTCCTCCCAAGTGAAGAGTTCCGGCGAGATGTCAGACCAAATGACGAGAGCCTGAGGTACTTCTCTTTCACTTCTAAGAACCATCCTTTTGTCTGTGATGGCAACTGGTGTTGTTTTGATGATTTCCTCTTCATCTGTGGCAGGTAACTGTAAGAAAGGCCTGATGTTTGGGTGAAGTCGCCGTTTAAGAAGGGAACAATGGAAAACCGGGTGGATCTTAGAGTCAACGGGCAAAGCTAGCCGGTAAGACACTGCACCGATTTTCTCTAGTATAGTGTAAGGGCCGTAGAACTTAGCAGATAATTTGATGTTCTTCCTTAAGGAAACTGAGTGTTGTTTATAAGGCTGTAGCTTAAGAAACACCTGTTCTTCCACCTCAAACTGCTTTTTTTGATTTGCATAGAATTTCATTCTTGCCTGTGCTTGAGTAAGGTTAATTTTGAGTTGCTGAGCTTGCATTTGCCTTTGTTGCATGAATTCATTGACATATGTGTGATTAGAGTCCAGATAGGGAGCCATAGAAAAGTTTTGGGGTAGGTAGCCGTAGAGAGATTGGTAGGGAGTCATTTTCAGGCTCGAGTGAAAATTGGTATTGTACCAATACTCAGCCAAGGTGACTTCATCCAATGCCTGGGATTAGAATGAACCATACTCCTCAAATAATTCTCAAGGCACTGATTTAACCTCTCAGATTGACCATCAGATTGTGGATGGTAAGAGGAGGTCATATTCAATTGCACCCCTAGCAGTTTAAACAACTCCTTCCAAAATATGCTAGTGAACACCTTGTCTCTATCAGAAACAATGCTCATTGGTAATCCATGTAGCTTATAGATGGTGTTTAGGAACAAGGTAGCCACAGTAGGACCAGTAAATGGGTGGGATAGAGCTATAAAGTGAGCATACTTAGTATACCTGTCAATGACCACCATGATAACATCCTTTCCTGCTGATTTAGGGAGACCTTCAATAAAGTCCATAGCAATGTGTGACCAAGCCTTATCAGGAATAGGTAGTGGCTGTAGCAAACCCTGGTAAGCACCAGGGATAGTGTTGATGACCGACTTGATTTCTTATGATTAATTAAAGACTGATCACCTTGTCTCGTCAATAGCCCTTTGGAGTTATCGTTTAAACAGCCAAACCTAGCTCAAGTCGGTACAACTGAACAACTACTGACTTCTAGACGGCTTAAAAGAACCGACTGATCATTAAATCTCAAAAGCCGACTTCACAGACATTTACATTAAAGATTATCCATTTATCCAAGATCCAAGAAGATCGAATTTCCAAGCAGGAGATGCTGTACGCTTTCAATTGGACCATCAAGTCAAAGAATAATCATTGATGTTCCCTCATTACATAACATGCCGCTTTAATGAAGTAGCTCAATAATAAATGCGATCTGATCTACCTCGGACAAGAAGACAAAACAACCGTACTATAAATAGCAGAATTTATGATTGTACGGGGATCTTTTTGAGCACATTGTACACGGACTTAAAAACATCTCGGTTATGAACAAAGAACCGACATCCTGTACTCTTGTGAAACAATCGATAAAACGCAAAATTGATGCTTATTTTGTTTTAAACACACCTTGTTGTTTGTTAATTTGAGTTGTTCATTTCATTACAACAACAGTTTGGCGCTAGAAGAAGGGCCTCATAAGTTATTTGAGGTTAATCTTCGACACATAACGCAAGAATAGTATATATCTGCCAAACAATTGTCATAATCATCATCATGGAAAGCTCTGGACGTCACGATAGAAATCCAGACGCGGGAACCAGTCGTAATTCATTTCAAACTACAGAAGATACGACTGCGCCATCCATGACGATAGATTTCTCTGTTCTGTTTCAAGATCCAGATTTTCTCAGAAATCTGTCTACTTTCATGGTGCAAACGAGAGCAGGACCAACTATAACAATTCCCAGTCAGACTCCTGTTCCAAATCCTCCAATAAGGCAACAGACACCACCTGTTCAACAGCAGAACAATAATACTGTTGCATCTCATGCAACTTCACAACCACGAACATTTGGGCCGCAACAAAATATAGCTGCCCAAAGCCATGGTGAAGTTCCTGTTAATAATAATCTTCCAGATGGGATTCAACCTGAAGTTAATGCTGAAAGTCATTCTGGGCGTCGTCGACAACAACCGGTGCCTTCGTCACCGGCGACTTCGCAACCTGTTCGACAATCCGACTCGCGTCATACCATTGAAAGAAATCGAGTTAGATGTGAGGCTAATGAACCACGTCATACTATCGAAAGAAACCGTTTGAGGCACGAGTCGGAGGAGTTGGAAGTATTAAGGAAAAGAATTGCCGAGTTAGAAACTCGGCAAGGAGATCCAAGTATCTCAAAGAAGACCTCCCATCTCGGGAAATGTCTATCTGGAAGCTGAAACTCCGTTAGCTCCTCACTTGACAATAAAGCCATTGTCTGGAAAAATCAAGGTTCCACAGATCGGTCTCTATGATGGCATCTCGGATCCTGATGCACATCTCGGTCAATACACCTCATGGATGGACCTTCACAGAGCAACCGATACACTACGATGTCGGATGTTCTCATTAACTCTCGGACCTCGTGCTCAAAAGTGGTATCACTCTTTACCTCGATGTTCAATTTCAAAATGGCAACAATTGAGAACGGCTTTCCGATCTCATTTTATTGGGGCCCGAGTATCTTTGATCCTAAAAGAGTCAATTTCCAATATTGTGCAAAAGGATAATGAAAGTGTCAAGGACTACAATACTCGATTTAATGAGCGAGTGCAAAATATGGAGCAGTGCCATCCAGAAACATTGCTGATTACAGCTATAGCAGGCCTAAGGCCAAATTCTCTATTTCGATGGAGTATTTATCAGAATAAACCGAGTTCATTCCAGGAATTCTTAGCTCGGGCCCAGCAACACACAATTGCTGAGGAGTCAATGTCGGTTCCTAATCTCGGCTTTGCCCCTAATAAGCCGGAGCAGGAGCAGGAATCGAAAAAGAAGAAGAACAAATCTTTTAAATAAAATAAATCCCGGTTCAGGAATGCCAAGAATCCCAAGGTGCAAGAGGCCAGAGCTAAGTACCAAAATGAAGTTAAGTCAAGCTATCAAACAATATTTTCAGCTGGAGCCGCAGCCATATTTGAAGAATTAAAAGGGAAAGAGATTCTTCCTGATCCCCGACCTGTGAGGACTCTGGAAGATAAGCTTGACAAGACAAAATATTGTTCATACCATAAGTCAGCAGGACATGATACTGATGAATGTTTGGGCTTACTGTCTACTTTGTTGAGACTTATCGGCACCCACAAGTCCAAAGATTTGCAAAGAACGTTGACTATAAATGGAAAAGCCGACTATTGGAACCCCCAGACGATGATGAAGACGATGATCGCCCAATAAATCCAAAGCGAATTAGACAGAGTGATAAAGAAGTTTTCATGTTCAGTTCGAAGGAGAAAAAAGCT